TCCGGCACCTCTTGTTGTGGGGAGGGCACAGGTCACTGTTGGGCGTGCACTAATGTCCCTTGTGCCAAAGTGCCCATCCTCAGGTAAAGAAATAGATTATATCACCTTTATGGCAGGTCACTGATGCTCTGCTGGTGCAGCCCTGTGGTGGGCATCACCCCTTGTCCCACTGGTTTGGGGGCAGGCAGGGAGGCAATTGCTGGCAGCATGGCCATGCCCAGAAAGGTGAGTACAGATGGTGCAAGACCATAGTGATCCTGCAGCCCAGACCACCTCCATCCACAGGGAGACATCACCTTTATTTTAATCCTCCAGCCTCTCTCTTCCCCAGCCTGCCTGGCTCCCTCTCTCTGCGTTTGCTGTGCTTTGTCTCCATGGGAAGACTCGCACCTCCCCAGCCTCACGCTATCAGTTCATCATCCGATTAAAGATTAATTTGAGATTATTGCTCATGTCAATAACCCGGAGCCAGGAAAACAATGGCTACACCTGCAGCTTGTTTGTGAGCCCTGTTCCTTATGGCGAGCTGTTAATGGACGGAGGCTTTCACCGGGACTGCCTGTTGACAGGGGCTCACTGAGCCCTGCACCAGCACCTGCTGCCCTTGTCCAGCCAGGAATAACCTCACACACCTTCTGAGGCCTCCCACATCCCAGCTACCTCAAGTGGGAAACCCATGTTTCCTCTGCTGATCACCCCACGAGCCATCCCAGCTTCTGCCACGAAGCTCCAGTCATTCCCTTCCCCAAATCAGAAACAGCCACCCAGTGATTGGCTTTAATAAGGGGCCTTTCCCTGGATTCTGCCTGGTTTCTGTTTGTTTGTTCAGCTTTTTCTAGGTAAGGTAAGATCCAAAAGAAGAATTAGGCTGCTACACTTTGTAGGGGCTGAGCTTTGGCTGCCTTCTTTGGGAGCTGCATGCCTGGATGCTGGAAATGCTCCTCTGTAGGCCGTGGGGGATCCAGGAGAACACAGAATCACAAGGAGAACATTTCTGTCAGACAGTTTTGTAGTGACAGGAGAGGAAAGTGGAATTTTTTTTTTCCTTTCTACTGCCCTGGAGGTGGGAGGAAGCGTCCTGGGGGTCCCCAGAGCTGCTCTTCACCCCCACAACACAAGGGCCAGGTGCACCTCATGCGTGTCCATGCAAGACATGGGGACAGAAAGGGGTAAAAAAGGCAATTTTGGGAACTGCAGCCTTCAAATCACTGAGGATATGGAGCTTAGCCTTTGCAAAGGTGGCTGTAATCCTCCAGCTTCCCTTCTCATCCCCTCTGGGATGCTCACAGAGACAGGACAGGACGGTTTCAAACAGTGTCATGGAAGCCTTAAAGCCCTTTTTAACCCGGGATCTCTGCCCCAAGGGGGTCCCACGGCAGGGTGGGTTTCCCAACACCCTTAATTCTGCATAGGGTCGGGGAAGGGGGAAAACACTAGTCGTCTGTGGGAAGAAAAAGCACTTTGTGGTTTCCCTGGAGCCTTTGAAAGGGCTCCAGGAGCTGAGGGGACGTGCGTGCTCGTTTAAAGGTCCTGTGGAGGTCCGTGGAAATGAAAGAGCGGAGTTCAAACGCTCGACGCCGCGGCCGTGCCACCGCCCGGGGAGCGCGGCAGCGCCGAGCCGGCACCGCCCGCACCCCGGCACCGCGGCACGGCCAGCGGGGCCCCGCTACCTGCCGGGCGCTTGATTGAATCCCGGCTTTTACGAGCGCTGACACCGTAATCTGTTACAGATGGTCACACAAGGTGGTCACCAAATGGTTCCTCCGTTAATCGCCGGCTGTGTGTCCCCCTCGCCCCCGCCTCCACGGCTCCCACCCCCGAAAATGCAGCCTGCGCTACCTGGCTGAGGCAGCCGGGCTGCGGCAGCGCCTTCACGGTGCGTTTAGTTCCTGCGCCACTAAAACAGAGAGGGGCGAAAAAAAACTGCTGAGGTTTCACCATGAGCCCCCAGCCTTCGCTGTGCAGCACGGGTTGCCTGGACAAGCACAGGGGACCGAGGGCAGGGGACTCTGGCACTGCTGCCAGGGATGCTGCTCGGCAGGTTCCCTTCAGAAAGGGAAATTGAAAAGCGATTGCAGTTCATCCTCAGGCCCAGTCCCGGGTGCATTTCTTCATCACAGAGCCCCCAGGGTGTACGGGGGCAGAGAAGGGCCAGAGGGGATCATCCTTGTCTGCAGCAGGCTTGAGCTGCACCCAAGGGTGTCCTGGCTGTGGTCCCCAACCCTCTGCTCACCCCAACAGCCCTCAGGTAGAAATAGGAGAAATACTTTTGCAGTAAGAAAATGAGCAGCTGGTCACAAGAGCAGGGATCTGGGCCACATCGATCACCCTGCGACGGGACAGCAGCTGGTCCAGACCTGGGCATCACCTGGGGAGGTCCAAGGCACTGCCGAAGGGGCGGGACATCACCTGAGCAGCCGTGTCCCCAGGGCACAGCGTGCTGGGCAGGGCAGGGAGCAGATGCAGCAGAAACCCAAGTGCCAGTGGGCTGAGCTTTTGTGATTCAGAACAGGCAGCATTTCTTTTTTCCAGTGTTTTAAGGCTGCATTTGTGTTTGAATGCCGGTGGGATTTGTCAGTCGAGCCTAGGCCGTTCACCACCCGGTTTATACCTTCCCTCTAAAAGCCTGGCGTCCCAGCCAGGCGCTGGACAAAGCCAGTAACACAACTGAGAGCAGCAACGCTCGCTAAGGAGGAGGTTTCTCACAGCTCTCACCGCCGGCCTGACCAATATTAGTTGAAGCCCATTGAGAGGGAGCTGGCAGGAGTCCCCGGTGTGTGCCACTGCGGGGATGAAGCAACAGCCTGAATGACACGGGAAAGGGTCAGGGTCCCCATCTGGTGACAGCCGTGGCACACGTGGGCGGGGGGAAGGCACAGCCGGTGTGGTGCAGGGCCCTGGTGTGACTCTCACATGTCGGAGCTGCAAAGCCAACCTTGGCCGGGACTGCTGCTCCCAGCATACCCACTCCTCCTCAATCCTCCTTCCCAGCTCCTGCAGGTGGTCCGTTCTCAAAATTGGTCTCTGTATTTTTTTATTTTTTTTTTTAACTATTTAGCTGCTTTTGCGGCTCCAGGATTTTATGGATGGAAAGCTGAAAGTAATTAGTGCCCCTCCCCCGCTTCCTGTTGGGAAAAGGAAGAAAAAAGCACACACAAGAGCAAACCCAAAACTTCCTGCCCTGCTTAATAATCGAGTAATGAGTCCAACTCGGCTGGGAAAGTCAGTTTATACCGGGTGAGCTCTTAATTAAAGAAGGGCCGAGCAGCAGCTCTGCTGACTTTTACAGCCACACACATCTTCCTGCTCCGAACAGCCCCTGGGAGAGGCGCTGGGAGCCGGACACCCACGGGCTGGAGGGGGATCAGAGCTGAAGGGCGTGTGCTTTTATTCTCTGGTTGAAAGCAGTGTCTGGGAGACGGCACTAAGGAAGTGCAGGGGAAGAAGGACAAAGTTGCATCCCCTGGGGGAGACAGGAGCCTGGCTGCACTGTTCCTGAAGCAGCCCAGATTTGTAGGAGGCTGGGAAGGTGCAAGGCAGGTGCTTTGGGCATTGGGAGTTTCATTATGGAAATTCTGGAGGCCAGTAGGGGGGGATACCTCGGAGGACCCATCCCGTGGTGTCCCCCAGGTATGGAGGTGCAGGGACAGCCCCACCTGTGCTTGCTGAAGAGCCTCTCCAGGGACAACAGGATGGACACACCTCTGCTGCTGCACCACCCACTGCGGGTCACCCACCCGGAGGCTCAGCTCCCTGAGGCATCTGGTGCTGGAGCCATCTCTGGGGAGGCTCAGGATCCTGCCAGAGGCAACCCCGCCAGCCCGGCAGGGACACGGACCTGCTCCCCAAGCTCAGAAAGTGCTGAGGGACAAGCTACAGGTGCTCCAGCAGCAAGTGGGGAAGGCAGTACCCACCTGGGCAGGCTGGGAGGGACAAGGCAAGCCCTTGTGCTTTCCCACAGGGAGCCTGGGAGATCCACTGCAGCCCCAGGCCACATCACTGCACAGCTGCCCCAGCCTTTTGGCAGGAACTGACTCAGCCTGACTTTTCCTCTCCAGAGAAGCAACTGCTCCACAGATCCCTGCCTGCAAATACCACTTGCCAGTCACCTGCAGCCAGAGGCCAGGAGCACCACGTAAGAGGAGAGCTGGGGCCAGCCCCCTGGTTCCCAAAGCACTGCCCCCTCACAACTGCATGTTCACCCCAGGCACCCACAAAACCCTATTATAAATTAACCATTTTATTGAATATCAATAAACTGTATATAGTTATATAAAAAGTTTCATCATTACAAAACTGTGGCACAAAAATATAAATACCAGTGTACCTTTGAAATGTAAACATCCTCTTTGTAATGATTCCATGAAAACAATGTCCAAAGAAAGATGCATTCAGGAGGCACCTGTCAATACCCATAAATAGGGCTTTTGGCACACACCTGTCGATGGGCAGCCTTGGGACAGGCCACCATTGTATCAGCTGACAAGTGCCTGCTATTAGTCACAGTTCTCTTGAAAAGCAGTTGTTAAGAGTCATATTAACAGGTGCTTGAGTGCATAGCTGCTCTGTAAACAGGGCTGGGGTTTGAAATGGCTACCCCTGCCTTTCATGGACACTGTTAATCTCGCAGGCATTGCAAATTGTCATTGTGCTGGGGAGAAGCAGCTGCTTCACAACTACTGGGATACTGTATTATTGCATAGTTACACCTTCTACAGGCAGTGTATATACACTCGGGGTTGAGGGGGGGGAACGTTTTCTCCTTCATTAAAAAAATAATGGTTTTTAAGAAGTTACCAAGTGGTTACGATGTTAACAAAACAAAACAAAAAAACCCCCACCGACAGAAAAACCCCAACCCCCCCCAAGCTACATGGTTGCAGTGTTCGGTACCGGCACAGGGCCAGGGTGCAGGTCCAGCCCTGCAAGGTGCCTCTGGCAAGAGGTGGCACCTGCCAAGGGGCTGTGGCAGCAGCGGGACAGGCTCAGGGCTGTGCCCCCCGAGCTTCACGCTTGCCACTGAGTCCAGTCCTGCACCCTGAGACGCCGGGATGGGAGAAGTGGTCAGAGCACCAAGCCTGAATGAGTTCGAGAAGCATTTGGACAATGCTCTCAGGCACATGGTGTGTGCTTCTTGGGGGTGTCCTGCGTGGGGCCATGAGCTGGACTCGATGATCCTGATGGGTCCCTTCCAACTCAGGATATTCTATGATCAGGTTCTTGCATTGCACTGGAGGCACCGAGCGAGGAGTGTGAGGGTCTCAAGGGCCAGAGGAGCTGCGTTCAGCCCGGTGCACACTGCAACGGCGACGAAGGAAACTAACTCCTACAGAATCTAGTTACAATATAGGTATTTGTGATGCGAGAGGCTGGGGGAGTGGAGTCCAGTCCTCAGCGAGAGCCGGAGCAGCCCGTCTCCTCATGCTTGTGGAGCAGCGACATGCGGGAGAAAGTCCGGGAGCAGGTTTTGCACTGGTACTTCTTTACATCTGAATGGGTCTGCAGGTGGGCGCGGAGATTAGAGCGGTCAGCAAAGGCCCGATTGCAGTGTGTACAGGAAAAGGGCTTTTCACCTATGGGACAAAGAGAAACGCTCCCAATTACCCAGTGCATCAACACATGAGGAATATCAAAGAAGGAGCCATTCATTAGCCCAAGTTTGTGCAGAGCACAGTGAAAAGAAGTGCTGGCTGTTATTGTTCGGAAGGAAAGACGGGTATGTACAGCATTGCTCGGGGGAGAACCGCCGCCTTGGGAATTGCCTACTCCCAGAAAAATCTCTCCTACGAACCGCGGAAAATTAATGCTGGAAACATCTGCAAGCAGCGAGGCAGTTGCACGTACAAACCAAGACACGATACTCGTCTCCTGCCCGGAGCCAAGCAAGGAGTTTGCAGCGAGGCAGGAAAGCCAAGCGCTGTGTGTTAATTATATCATAGCAGGCAGCGGCTGCGAGGCGCCAGCCCAGGGTGAGTGGAGCTATTTCCTCCGCGCTCCCCCTTCTCCTGCCCAGCTCGCATTGAAAAGCCTGGCCAGGGCGAATTCCTCCCAGAAAGACTCTTTTGGAGGAAACAAATGTGTATGCTCAATTTGGAAAGCACAATTAAGTCTACCCGGCTTCCTTCAGCCATCATCTTTAGTACGTTAAGAGGGTGTGAAATCAGTGCCAAGTCACAATTACACTGTCCCGCAGCCCCACAAAGGATGCTCGGGAGATGCATTGTCGGGGCAGCGGGGTGGGCTGCAGCTGCGGCACCCGGAGCCGCGCCAACAGGTGCCTCCAGCACCTGCCCACAGGCCTCGCCCAGCCTTGCACATCTCGGCGAGCGGGTGGGCTCGGAGCCGGGCTCATCGCTGCCAGCGGTGGGCAGCCGGGACTGGGGCTCTGCCCTGGCCAGGAGTCCTCGATGTGGGCAGAGGGATGCTTTGGGCATGGCAGTGCCCAGGAGGGAGAGCTCCTGGCAGTCTCACAGCCCCAGTTTATGAAGTCATGGTGAAGCGTGTGCTGTCACACTGCGGCCAACAGGCCAGCTCCGGGGGGGGCACTGCAGCTGCACAGGTTTACAGGCTGGGCCTTGACCCTGCGCTCGGTTTCAGCCAAGAGGATATTTAAAGGACAATTTAGAGAGATGTGCCAAGGGGGTCTGGGAAGCCCTTATCTTCCCAGATAACAGCCGGCCCGCCGATTCGCTGGGGGCAGTGGAGCAGGGAAGCGGGAGGCGATGAGGGAGGGAGGGAGAGGGAGAAGAGGGGACCTTACCGGTGTGTGTCCGGATGTGGCCCTGCAGCAGCCAGGGCCGGGAAAAGGCCTTCCCGCACATCTTGCAGACGCAGGGCAGCGTGTGGCTCCGGATGTGCATCTTGAGAGCCCCCAGGCTCACATACTCCTTCTCGCAGTACTTGCAGCTGAAAGATTTCCTGGCCTGGGCGTCGCAGTGCAATTGCTTGTGCTTGGAGAGCCCGGCGAAAGTGGAGTACGCTTTGGCGCACTGGGCGCAGCGGAAGCGCTCGGCGGCAGCGGGGGCCGAGGCCGGACTGGGGGGCCCCGAGCTCTTGCCTTCATCCTCCTCGCTGGAGAGCGCCGTCAGGTCCAGGGCGGGGGTCGCGCCTCCCGCCACCTCGCTGCCCGGGCCGCCCGGGAACAGGCTGGAGAGCAGCCCCGCATCCCACACCAGCGGCGGGTAGTAGGCGCCGGGGCCGAGCACCTCGGGCGGGGGGATGACGGGCAGCGGGCACGTCTCGTACAGCAGCGGGGCGGCCAACACTGTGGGAAGCGGCGGCGGTCAGTGGGGCCCGCGGCTCCCGTGGGAAAGGCAGCGCGGGGCCCCGACCCACCGCCGCGGGCTCCACACCTAGGGGCGCGGAGTGCCCAGCCCACCCGTGGGAGGCTCAGTGGGACCCGATCCCACCCCATCCGTGGGAGACCCACGCAGCACACCCCGGAGTCAGAGGGGCAAAGGGACCCCAGCGCGTCCCATGGAAGCCCAGAGCCCCCAGCCCGCCCCAGGGCAAAGGGGACCGACCTCACACCACGAGGGCCCGCACCCCTGCCCGCCCAGCTGCGAGGGATGGGGCGAAGGGGACCCCACGCCCCTGCTGATTCCCGGCACGGGAAGCTCCCAACGCGCCCATGCCCAACCCATGAGGGAGCCCCCGGTGCCTCTGCCCAATCCGGGGTACCAGGAAGCGGCTCAGCATCCCGGGACACGGAGGATCCCGCGCCCAACCCCATGCGACGTGCACAAAATTGAAAAAAACCCCCAACGTCCCATAGGTCCGCAACCCTGAAGTCGGTCACTCCCTGCCCGCTCCCGTGTGGAGCCTTAGGAAGATTCCACACCGGAGTCCCCACGCCACCCCGCGGAGCGCCCCACGTGCACGGCCCGTCCCGTCCACGCACCGGCCTGGCTCTCCAGCTCGCTGTAGTTGGGCTTCTTGCTGGCCGAGAAGTGCTTCTTCACCAGGAAGGAGCGCGGCATCTTGCAGCCCCGGAGCCGCCGCCGCCGCGGGGCCGCCGCGCTGCCGCGCCCGCTGATATGTGCGCGGGGCCGGGGGGGCGGCGCGGGGCGGGGAGGGCGGTGCGGGGCCGCCCTCGGGGGCCGCAGCCAATGGTCCGGGCGGGACGGGGCGGGCACCGGGCAGGTGTTGGCCCCGCCGCCGCCGGGGGCCGAGCCGAGCCTCGGGGAAGGACCCGGGGGCTGCTCCCGCGGGGCCGCCGCGCCACCCGCCTGGCGCCGTAGTACGAGCGCTGGTGCTGATGCTGATGCTGATGCTGGTGCTGGTGCTGGTGCTGATGCTGGTGCTGATGCAACGGGCCGTTCCCGGCTTCTCTCCGGAGCGTTTCCCGATGCCGCGCTCCCCGCGGGTCCGGCCGGTGCTCCGGAGGGAAGCGGGGCAAAGAGCTGTGCGGATGATCCACGGCCCGCGCCCGGTCCGGGCGGATCGGAGGCGGCGGGGCTGAGGAAGGCGCTGTGCCGAGGGGTGGTTCCCGGGCCCATCACGTTTGTCTGTCCTTCCCATGCTCCACGGCTGGGGACTGCGGTGCAGGTTGGGACGAGCCTCCGCCCTTCCCCGCTGGGACACAACTCGGCGGGGAGCAGGCTTCGCCACAGGTTAATAAAGGTTAATAATCCTCTGGAAGAGGCAATGACTTGTGGAGGAGCGGGATGGATCCCGCACGGCCCTCGGGGATTCCCTCCCCCTGCCAGGGGTCAGGAGCACCTGTCCAGACATGCAGGGAAGATTTCAAGCAGCAAGCCCCCAGCAAGCTGCCCTCTGTTGTCTTCCCTCCTCCCTTCCCCTGACTCCTTCCCACGGGCAGTGTGGGTCAAACGGCCCTGTTGAGGCACGCACTCTGTTTGGTTTTCCCGTTCCCAGGGGACGTGTGTCGATGGGAAGGTGTTCAAGCCTTGCTAGTGGGTGCTGGGGCAGTGGTGAGCAGAGCTGTACCAGTCCCTCCAGCCTGGCAGCTAGAAAGCTCAGCCCGGGCTTCCAGCTCATCCCATCCCTTGGCTCACGTGGGGGTTTCCCTGCTGGAAGGGCTCAGGGCACGGGTCCAGCCACCTGCTGCAGGAGCAGCACTCAGCTCTGGGCCAAGACAGCTGCTGACGGCAAGGCTGCAGGAGGAGGAGGAACAGGTCCTGCTGGGAATGCCTCCTCTGGCCCTGCCACTTGGAAAAGCACCGTGTGCTGGGCCACTTGTGACTCAGCCCCTGCTGACCACGCGCTACTCTTTAGCCACAACCACATGAAATGCAGAAGTGGGAGCAAAGCTTTCCACTGGCACGGCTGCAGCACTGAGCTCACTGTCAGCCTTTCCTCAGGGCAGGAACAGCTTGGAAAGCCTGTCCTGCCAGCCACGCGCATCCTGCCCAGACCAGACGCATTTGCAAACTCTTCCCCTGCAGCCACGTGCTCTGGAGCTGGATCATCCCTCCTTTGCTGCGGAATTGCCCGTGGCTTTCAGCAGGTGTTTATCTATAAAACTCATCCCTGGATCGGCCTGAAGTTCAGGGGGAAATGTGCCCCTGAAGGCCTTGGGGGATGCAAATGGCAGAGGTCAGGTCCCGCCCTTTTCTCTCAGGAGTCCAGAGGCACAGCACGCCCTGGGGCAGGGGCAGCAGCCCGGGTGTTGTGCAGGTGCCTCCCCCACCCTTTCAGCAGTACCCCCCCCACGCTCCTCCACCTGCCACGGATGTGGTTACACTGGGGACACTCATACAAGGAACTCAGTGAGGTGGTTTTCTTTCAAGAAGCAAAGCCTGCTCCTCTGTTCTTTCTGAAATGGTGATAATCAGATCTGTTCCAATCACTGCATGTGGAAAAAACTTGTCTGTGCAGGGGAAAAGCTGAGACCAAGTGATCTGACCTGCCTGTGCCTGAGAGCCAGGATGCTACAGGACAGAGAGCAGGACACAGAGGGGAGGGGAAGCTCTGCAATGGTTCATGGGCTGGAAGTGGCAGTGGTTTCTCAGCTGTCCCACCCTGCACTGAAGCACAGGGTTCTGGCAGCAGCTGAGCCTTAGGGCAGTCAGACTAGACCGGCCACCACCCTGTGGTACAGCTCCAATCCCGGACCCACATGGACTGGCCCAAGGAGCTCACATGTACACTCCAACCACCTCCAGAGCAACAGGTCTGGTACAAATTCTTCTTATTACTTTCTTTGGCCTCAGGGCTCCATGAAGCATCTCGAATATCTGTAGAGCAGAGCACCTGGCACCAAGGGAGGCTGTGGTGGGGTGAAAGGAAGCTCTGACCATGAGGTGTGGGGATGGGGTGTGAAACCTCACTGCAAGCTGGAGAAGCTCCTCGGAACCCACCGCAGCCCCTGAGCCCGGTGGAGGAGGCCGGGGCTGAGCACAGGGCCGGGAGGAGCGAGCCTCGCTCTCTCCAAGATGCAAGACCTCCCTCTGCTGTCAGCGCTCGCCGAGCGGCCTCCGCTGCAGCGGGGCGGGGGGGCTCATCCCCTGCACTCGGGCTGGGGAAGGGACTGTCACTCTCTACATGGGGGACTAAAGCAGCTCCCAGAAGCTCCACTGAATTCTTTGTTTAAACCGAAACGTCTGAGTCCCGGGTAAAGACAGAATAAATGTGAGAACTAGAAGAGAGACCCAAGTCTGTAGCAATGACACTAATTTCTCAGTAAGTGCTGAGTATTTTCTGGAGTTCTGGGGAAAGAAAAGCAAGGTTTCAACAGTCCTCATTTTTCCTCATTTGCTTTTCCATAACTTAACACAGCCTTGGTTCATTAATCCTTCCTGCACTGGTCTCACCAGTATCTGTCCAGGAGAGCTGGCCAAGGGCCTTGAAGGAAAATTGCTATTCTCTTGTCAATCAGGTGACACGAGGACCTGGAATATACCACCAAGGTTTTATTATGGATGGGATCCTTGACAAGATCTCATACCCACAGCATAAGGAGATCGTGGGGATTTCCACTGTAGTTCCAGATGAAGCAATGCCTGTGCGTCAGGCAATTAATGCCTGACAACAATTTATCAGACCTATTGAGACCAGTCATTCGCTGGAGAAAGATGCACTTAATAAAATAGCTCAGCTGCTAGCCTGTCTCCTCCCATCCTGTCTCTCCGTGCTAATTGTCCTCCTTAGGCTGACTCCTTGTGCCAGACATGGGGAATTTCACAGGTCCGAGCTGGCCCGATTGCATTATCACCCACAATGGGCGCTCGGGATTTGCGGCTGCACGATCAGGTGCTGACGAGGCGAGAGCAGCTCTGGCGGAGCACTTCACTCTTCCGCAGGGACACTCCAAGGGTTTGGAAGCCCAAACCGGCTTGCTCTATACTAAGGGTTTTTTAATCACCCAAGCGAGGCGAGTCGAGGCTGTGCACAGCACACACGCCCCTTTCAGCGGAACGGCTTTACATCAACGCGCGAGGATCACCAGCAAGATGTATCCCAGCGAGTGCAAACACGTCTGTGTGTGCCGACGGAGTCAGCAGGGTGGAGGTACAATCCACTCCTCACTCCTGGAACCAAACCTCAAGTACAACCAGCACGCATTTTCCAGCCAGTTCTCTGCTCTAGCCGCTACTCAGCTGCAGTGGTCTCCACAGAAAAGCCCTGCTGGGCTCTCGAGGGGTTGTTTCCATGGATTACAGGAGGATCCCACCCAAGGCTGCACCTGCAGTGCTCTGGCCAGCTCGAGCACAACTTGATCCACACTCAATCTGAACTGTTTCTCATAACCTCCACGGTCCACTCTTTGAAAGACTGTAAATAAAGTTGCAACTAACCAGTACAAAATATTTAATGGAAGCCCAAAGTTGAAGTTCCTGCATTTCTCAACATCCACTGTGCTCTCTGCAGAGTTACGCAGTTGGCAAGAAGAGTTTTTGGGGGAGATCTTCCATGAGGAAGAAATGACAAGAGGGGACACAAAGGTAGGATTTTATAAATTAAATGGCCTTTATTTGTAACTTGTCTCCAAAAGTCAAAAACATGACAAAGTAATTGCTCAGAAGCTCTAACTGCTCCTTAAATATTTTACCAGAATTGCATGGAAGTGCACTTAGAACAGCAGCAGGAATCTGGATTCCTGGAATGGGCATCACCAAACTGCGCTCTAGCCAGAACCCAGAGATCCCCGTCCAACCCCCAGTAAATTGTCATCTCTTTGCAGGTCAAGCATTAAAATTACCACCCCCAAACACAGTTCCTTTCCCACAGAATCATGAGATCCCACAATTCCCACCCTCAGGACTGAGCTTCCCAGTCCCCATGCAGGTACTGAGGGATGGATCTGTAACAGCCCATACCAAGGGGAAAACACACTAAACCCAAGTTCATCTGATGCATCTTAGAGGTCTGGCTGGACACAAAGTTTGATCAGAGGTTTTAGGTGGGATGGTTTCATCATTTTCAGGGTAAGGCTACGCTGCAGTCTGCAGAGCGTGATGAGTAAGGTTACTGCTCAAATAAATTAATTAGTGCTCAATTCTGGGGTGGTGCAGGTCCACTGCTCCAATTGCAATGCTTACATTAGACATCTCAACACTACGGTGATTTATGAGTTCTGCTCGGGTGTCTTAGACTGTTGTGGGTGTCCAGACCTCCCATCTCAACAGCTTGTCCGAAGTTACTGAAAACATCGAATTAAAATTAAAGAATCTCTGTGCTAAAAGTGTAGGCTTGAAAACAGAGTATCCATTGACCACACAGACTGGAATTGTCATCCTGCTTTCAGGGTTATATTTTAATTTTTCTTGACTCTACACACATACTGCTAGATGGAAAACCATCCAAGTACAGCTTCAGCTGCTGTGGGAACATTTAGATGAAGAACAGGAATTCAAAATACCTGATTAAATCTCTGATGCAAAAAGAAAGTGCTATGCAAGTGCCATGAACTACTGGTAAGTTTTGCCACCAGCTAGCCTTGAGAGATGGAAAAACCAGGAATATATATGAAAATTTTAGTTTAAATAGAAAGCAGAGGTATTGAAAAAAGCCTTCTGAATTCCCCTGTCAGCATAAGGCTTAGAATCACTAGAAAACCAGTTTCAAAGCCACCAATTTAATCATAAAGCCAGCAATTATGATTAATATTTGATAATATAGTTAAAAAAATTACGTGTTTTAACTAAGACCAACAATAAAGTTCATTTTTCAGGCTAGAAATTTTATAGTAAGAGTAGGGAGGAAAGTAATCATCATGCATAGAACGGAAGTATTTTGGACTAGTTGTTTACACAGTGCAAAGATTTGTTTGAAGACTCATACTGAGGATATGTTTTCCATATAGATAGGAGGCTGCCTGTGAGGACTGAAACACTGGGAAACATTATCGAACCACAGGTATCAGAGGTCACTTTAAATGAGAGCTGGTCTGACAGTTACAGTTAGCACCTGGAAGTCTCACTAAAGGGAAACAGAGCTACAAATACACCTCACATACTATCACTTGGGATATGTAAATGAGATTGGGAAGAGATTTATTAACTAGTTCAGGCCATTCCATTCGGAATGTTTCTGTTTTTAGACAGTCAGATGAACGCAACTGCCAAAGAAACCAAGAAATGGGCACAGGGAAAGGAAAAAGATTGGGTTCCCACATGGTGATCTACAATTAAGCTTTGTGTGAAGCAAGTAGAAAAATGAGGCTGACAGGGCTGAATGGCAGAGACCATGATACCAAAAGACTTGAGTGGTACAGAAATATCAAATCAGGATTTGAAACTGAGATAGGATTAAAGTCTTCCATATTTCTGGACGCCTGAGTTAATCTTGGGATGTGCAGGGAGAAGTGCAAGGATGCTGGGCATTTCCCCCTTGTGGAAGCTTGGTTTTACAGGTAATCTTCTAGTTGGATCATTTATCCCTCAAAGAACGCATCAAAACCTGTTCCATCATATCATCTTCATCAGCATCGTAATCCTAGGAACAAAGGGGAGAAACTCTTTTACCGCGACAGCCACGCTGGTTTATACAACAAATAACAGCAACAAAAGCTGCCCTTCCCGTTGACTCTCCACTTCCTCCCAGGACACCGTGTGCAGGGTGGGGTTTCACAGCAGGGGCCATGTCACACAGCCCAGGTTTAGGAGCCACCAGGCTGCATTCCAAAGGGGAGGATAACATACCACAAAGGTGTCATAGGAAAAGCGGTGTCGCCTCTGCAGGTGCTCCATGAAGTTAGCACTCCTGTAATTCGGATCTCCCCAAGGCATTGAGGCACAAATCGGGCAAACCTTCAAGAAAAACCCAGAACAGCCAATTAGGCCCCAGCAGTTAAATCCTTTTACATCGGCAGTAGGGAGGGCAGGGCAGGGCAGGGACAGAGTGGAGGGTTGAAGTTCAAGGTTTGTGCTGCCACTATTCTATATGCAAAGTGCTGCCCGATACCTTGCTGGGACATTTGATACAAAAGCCTCAGACAATTTTAACTGATGTCTTAGATCCCTGAAATGGAACAGCTTACTCTTCTCCCACATACTGAAAATCAGAACTCAGTACAGCTGCTTGCTTTAGAAGATTTCAGCCTTTATTTCTCAGTAACAGGAAGGTTTCCTTGGTCTCCTTTGCAAAGATCATTTCTCTCCAGGAGAAAAAAGGAACTTTTTTTTCTGACTAATTTGGAATTCCAAAAAGCTTGCTAGAAAAATGAAAGTTTCAAATTCAGTTCCATGTTTTGCAATTCCTCTTACATAAGAGGAAGTATCACAGATAGATTATTAGAATGGTATACTGTTTCTTGCAAGCATTTTCCCCAATTGCTTATAGTATCTTCTTGCTGAAAACAGCACAGGGGAAAGTTAAATGTCCGACTTTTTTAAAATTATATTTTATTAATTTGCTGTGTCCAATTAACTTTGAGTGTCTGCCACTTTTCAAATATGAAAGGAGGACGTGGCCCAGGTGCAGTCAGAGTAGAGACCAGTCACCTCCAGAGAATGCACTGAAAGCCAAGAGCAGAATTACGTGAGAGTTAAAGGCATGACCAGCAGAGCCACACTGGACTTAACAAGAATAATTATATGCACTTAATTCAAGAGTAAGTCTCTAATTCACTGTTTCAAAGGGCTTTAAGACTAGACTTTGTCGCAATTCTTGCACCAAGACTCTTTATTACCACTTGTTTTGCATCCATGCTGTGCAGCGCTTTGCAGTGTTCAACCAGCCCTTCTTGATCAAAGTTTTTCTCGCTGCAATACGGACAAGGAAAGGTGAAGCGATTTGGGAAGTTCCTGGTTGGGGAGGGGGGGAAGAAAAGGAGGTTATTTACACATACAAATTATTCAAAGCAATAATCTTACTTATTCAATTAGGACAAGCTAATTTTAACAATCAGTTTGTAAGCTCCTAACAATACCTTAAGGAACTCAACATTGTCCATATTTAGACTGAGCTACAGTTCTTCTACCAATTTATCACCTTCTCTTTAAATGCACAGGGTACCACACACGAGTGCACTGCAACCAATTCCTACTTCCCCAACAATAGACAGAAGGATAGAAGATTCTTTTAAAAACCCAGCAACTCTGTACAGAATACCCTTATCTTAAAGATGTCCTGTGCATGGACTGAGCAGAAGCAGCAGAGCTTGCCTTGGGCACAGTCAGCTGCAGGATTAAGGCTCAGTTTTTAACTGAGGAGGCAAAGCCTGCTCATACTTTAAAACTCCTTTTTGTGACAAAAACCCAAGCACTTCAGAGCATCCCTCAGCTGTTACCTGGTGTTGTGGAGTGGCTCTTTAGTCACAGCTTTCACGCCTTCCATGATGTAATTCTGGTACTTGGAGCACGAGGCCGCGTGGCTGCGCATCTTGGAGAGGAACATCTGTGCAGGCAACAATGGCACAGCACCTTAACTCCAACTACCTGCACTTCCTGCTACATTTCTAAGCAGAAGCAGCAAACATGTAACCCAGAGCAACTTTCTGTGCAAGTGTTAAAGCAGAAAATCCAAATACTTCGGCTGGTGAGGTGGAAAACTTTCGAGATTACAGATTAGTTAACCTGTAACTTTCCTGCCTGTACTATGTTGCACACACTCGTGCTCAGGAGAGCTCACTTAACCTAAACTACGTACTATTTTATATACCATACTGTAGTACATAAACAAAAGCTTCCTAGAATGCCAGTTCACCTGGTCACTGAGAACAGAGTGTATGGAAAATAACCCGGCTTGGTAGAGACTGATTGCTAATTGTTCGATCCCATTAATGAAAACTCAGATTTACAACAAGGGAAGCTGAAACTCAAGACACTGCAGTTTTCTCTCAGCTGGAATGGAGATAGAATGAAGAAATGACCCAGAAATAAACAGTGAAAGTAACTGAACCCTCACCTAATTATCCTTTTCCTGTTGTTCCGTCATGTGCTGTGATATTTTATTATACATTCACTTTATGTATAAGGGGCTAAGCAGCCCAACTTCACCAAGGGAAAGGGAAACCCAGGAAGGATGTCACACAGGTGTTCAACATGCAGGACACATCAACCAGTAAGTCCATGGAATACACCAGCCATGCAGGACTACTCTGACTTGTGACTATTGCAAAAAAACCAAATAAATTTCTGTTTAGGAGCCACAGCTCTAACCCCCACAGCCACTGTTTCATTCACAAGGACGTTGCCACAGCAGCAACATTTTACTGTAATTTTGAAATCAGTCTCTTTCATTTGAAATTCACTTTGTGAACAACAAAAAAACTGGAAAGAATGTCAACATTTGGGTGCTGCCTTTATCAAATACCTTTAGCACATATCAGAATGAACATTTTGACCTGATTCTGCCGAAAGCTGAGGAGCAAGCATTTTATTCCCCCATAAGCAGCGTGGCTGAGCAGGCACACCTCAGGCACTTAATTTCCAACAACCTTCATACCTTTTTATTGCAGCCGTTGCAAGTAGTCTCTGTGGTTTCAATCTGCTTTTCCAGGTCCAGAGCCCTGCTACCAGGGGACAGGGTGCTGCGGCACACACCACACACTGGCTTTTTGGGCTTGAGACACTCCTGCAGGCACGGCGTGCAGAACCTGTGGGGGAGAAAAATAGGCGGGCGGTGAGACAGCCCCCACCCCCCGGGCACCAGCACCACACCCCCTGCCCTCTCTGCCCTCTGCCCGCAGAGATAACCGAGTCCTGAGACATGACCCGTGGAAAGCAGCAGCCTGTTGGCACCCGGGCACCAAGGGAGGAGCAGGAGGATCCCAGGCCGTCGTGCCCAGCGTTGGACAGGGCTCTGTGCCCTCGGTTTCCGCTGAGAATCATAAAATGGTTTGGTTCTAAGCGACCTGAAAGCCCATCTCGTTCCACCTCGCGCCATGGGCAGGGATACACCTTCCAGTATCCCAGGCTGCTCCAAGCCCCGTCCAACCTGGCCTTGGACACTTCCAGGGATGGGGCAGCCACAGCTGCTCTGGGCAACCTGTGCCAGGGCCACCCCACAGGGTGTCTAACCCTGCCCTCTGGCAGCGGGAAGCCATTCCCCCTTGTCCCAGCGCTCCGTACCCGCATCCCTCAGCAGGGTGAAGAAACGAAAGTGGAAGAACAGCACCTTCATCTCTGCCTCCGCTTTTGTTTCGTTTTCCTTTTCACGGACGCTCCAGGTCCCCCCTCAGCCGCTGCCGAGGCGCAGAGCAGCTCGCGAAGCCCCTGCCCTCAGCCCCTGCCCCCTGAGCCGCCTCTGCCCTCAGCCCCCTCCGAGCTGCGGCTCCTCCCGAGGCCCCGCAGCCCCCGCGGGCCCAGCCCCGAGCCCCTGACCCCCCCGCATCGTCCGCCGGCGGGCGCTCACACGTGTCCGCAGGGGACGCGCACGGGGCTGTCGAACACCTCGAGGCACACGGGGCAGGTGAGGCGGGACAGCGGGTCCTGCCGCCGCTCCGGGGGCCGTGACGAGCCGCCCGCCGCCATCTTCCGCCGCGCCGCCAGGGGGCGCACTGCGCACGCGCGGCCCCGCCCCGCCCCGGGGCGGGATCGACCGCGGTGGGCGTGGTCATGCAAATGACAGCGGCACGGCTAGGGGGCGGGCTCACACATCGTGGGCGTGGTCGCTGAGGTGGGCGTGGCCCGGCGCGGGGGCGCGGCCCCGGTCCCCGTTCCCGGCGGCGGCCACAGGGCCGTGTCGCGGCCCCAGCGCGGCGCGAACCCCGCTCCCGGCACCGCGCGGGCCCCGAGGCCGGTTCCGCCACGGCCCCGCAGACGTTCCACGGCCGCTCCATCCCCCGCAGCCCCCCCTCCGGGGGCGCGGCGCTGAGGGCCCCGCCCCCGCCCCGCTGACGTCTCGCGGCGGAAGCGCCGCCGCCGCCGTTCGGTTCCGGGTCGCCGCCGCTGCGGCCCTGCCCGAGCCGTGAGGGCGGGCGCTCCCTGTTCCCTGCGGTGCACCGGGCGCTGCCGGCAGGTCCCGGCGGAGCGGAGCGGAGCGGTGAGGCTCGGGGCAGGCCGCAGCGCGGGGGCTTGGCCGGCCGGGCGGGCGCAGCGTGGGGCGGGCGGGGGCGGCGGCGGCTCCCGGGGCCGGGGCTCGGCGGGCGCTGGGGAGGCCCCGGCGGTTCCCCGGGGCTTCTCGCCCAGGCTCTGCAACAGGTACCCGGGCACCAGCTGGTGCCGAGCGGGCCCCGCCCGCCCGCAGCGCTCGGCGGGGCTCGGGGCCGCTGTCAGTCGTTGTGTCCGGGAGCGCTGTCGGGTGTGGGGCGACAGCCTGGCGTTCCTGCTGCCCTCGGCCGCGCTGGGAGCACCGTGTGTGCACCTCGGGAGGACTGGGTACCTCAGTGCCCGCCCCTGGTTTTCCCCTGCTGCTGTCAGGGTTTTTGTGCAGCCGAGTGATCCAGCGTGGCCGGACAGTTGGTTTCCTCGGGTGAGGTTTGGACTCTGGAGATGGGGAGGAATATTCTCTTGTCCTACTGGCAGACACTGGACTCTGACCAGGACTTCACTATTCTTGCATCTCCAGGAAATCTTGAGGTTCTCAGTCAATAATTTGCAGCGGAAAACAGCCTCGTTCCTCGCTGTGCTCTGTCACCAGTGCCTATATTTGAGCCTGTATTTATCCGTGCCTGCTGCACCGCGCGGCTCCCGAGCCTGTAACCACGGCTGTGCTGCCGAGGGGCTGGGACGGAGCCCAAACGGGGGGTTTGGTCTGTCCTGGTTTGCAGTTCGGCCCTGTGAGCCCTGACCTGCGTGCAATCCCCGGGGCAGAGGCAGGGCTGGCAGGGGCTTCGGGAACTGCCGGCTGCAAGGCCTTGGTGAAGGACTTTTCATCTGGGAACTCTCCTGACCCTGACATTTCTCACGTGTAACCGACTGCTTTGTTTGGTGGGAACTGGCAGTGGGGGTGGTGGAACTCTAATTCTGACTCGGGTTCCTTGTCAGCACGGGATCACTCCGTGTCCTAGGGGTGTTTCACTGCCGTGCCAGACAAAGATCTCTCTCTGCAAGTCTCCTGTGCAGCTCTTCTTGCCAAGGAACAGGCCCTGCTATCTTTGTCCACAGATCCATCCTGCACAACTCGGGGAGGAGCGTGGAGAGAGGAGGGGCTGCTCCTGGAGAGAGGAGGGGCTGCTCCTGGCCCTTATGCTCAGATGTTAACTTAGCACTCCACATCTGTGATTCACAGCCTGTCTCTTGACACTACCACCGTGTGCCTGGGAGCAGAAACCAAACTGCTACTTAACTTTCCCCACACGGGGCTGGCACTGAGCACGGCCTTTCATCAGGGAATGTTAACTGCTAGGCTGGTGGTTTTGTTTGTTTGTTTTCCAGGCCTCTTGGTTGTTGGTATTATGCGTTTTGGCTCCTTTCATTCAGTTAATTTTG